ATTGCAAAATCAGTAACATCTATTAACTCCCCATTCCCCACGCCCGACAAGCAAAGCAGCAGAATGTCTCTGGAGTTTAACCAGTTCTCTAAGGGTTAAACAGTTCTTAAAGTCTTCTCTGCTGTGGAAACGGCTGGCTGGGTCCTTGGTGCTCTTGCGGGGGAGGGGGGGCCTCAATGGAGATGCAGATGATGTCCCTATTTCAGGTGGGCCTTCGGTGAATGCTGTTTCCCTCCAAAGATAGAGAAGTGGCTGTCCTCTTGCTATAAGGTCGAATTAGTCAGGCTGGAGCAAACATTGTTTTTAAACAACATAAAAGACCACTATTTAGATGGACTGTACCAGATGGAATACACAGAAATCAAATTGACTACATCTATGAAAAGATACAGCGGTAAAGCTCAGTATCAACAGCCAAAACAAGGCCAGGGACAGACTGTAGAACAGACTATGAATTGCTTATATGCAAGTTGAGGCTGAAGCTGAAGATAATTAAAACAAGTCCACAAGAGTCAAAATATGACCTTGAACATATCCCATCTGAATTTAGAGATCATCTGAAGAAAAGATTTGATGTATTAGACATAAATTTGTCTAGTTAAAACAACAGACGCTTATTGTTTCAGTTCTTGAAGGCAGAAGTATGGTATCAGCATCCAGAGTCAGAGGCAGAATCAAGACCCATCAAAGAGGAGTTGGTGCTGCTAATTCCTCACTTCCTTTGTTGTGGCTCAGACAGCTCTCCTGGAAAGCAGGAGCTTCCATAGGTGTGTATGCAGGTGAGGGCCAGGCATACCTCTGGTCCCAAATAATGTGATGGTGGTAGTGGTTATGTGTCTTGCAGTCGGTTCCGATTCACAGGGTTTCCGAGGCTGTAAATCTTTATGGGAGCAGAAAGCCTCATCTTTCTCCTGAGAAACTTCTGGTAGTTTCGAACAGCTGACCTTGAGGTTAGCAGCCCAATTCGTAACCACTACACTACTGGAGAAGAGCTCTAGAAGCACAGTGGTTATGAGTCGGGCTGCCAACCTCAAGGTCAGCAGTTTTAAACTACCAGCAGTTCTGCAGGAGAAAGACAAGGCGTTCTGCTCCCGTAAAGATTTACAGCCTCAGAAACCCTATGCAGGGTCATTTTGGGTTGGAATCGACTCCACGGTATGTAACAACAACAACACTACTGGAACTCCTTCAAGTAATGTGGGATAAAATAAAATTTGGATCCTTTCTTTCTCTCCACCTATATGGTACACCTCTGCGCTACCAACTTACCTCTTGACTTCAGTGTCACCCACAAAAGTTGGTGTCTATGCCACATCTAGCTAACCAGCTCAGATCATCAGTCCAGTCTCCTTCCTTCCTTCCTTTCTCTCTCTCTCTCTTTCTTTTCCTCCTTTCTTCCTTCCTCCCTCCTTTACTTCTTTCTTTCTTCCTCCAAGTGTCTGTTCAACTGCCTCTCCTAGTGAGGACTAGTTTATGATTAGGCAGGGCCAGCTCTGCAGATTTTTAAGCAGGGCCCGCTAGAACAGAGTTAATGCAGATAGCTCCCCCATTCTTTAATGGGGCTCACAACTTCAGTGTTCACATCCATGTAGCTCCAACCATTGAAGAGTGGGAACTCTCCTGGGGTTTTATGTGGGTGAGATCTGACCATGCCTCTGGTCCCCAGGCAAGTATGCAGATAGGAAAAAGATTCCACCTTTATCTCTGTGAAACATCATTCTGTTTCTGCAACGCAAATATGTTTCCTTGTCTTTGAAGCTGCTCACAAATGCTCAAGATGACCACGGCCTGCCTGGTTGTCCCACACAGGTCATGAGTTTGACTCCCTTTTTTTTTCAGTGTCAGATTTGTCATCTAGTAAGTATTCAACCCACTTCTCTATCCCTTCTACTGAAGCTCAGGGTTCCAGGACTATCACCTGTGTCTGTTTCATTTGGTTTTCAATGTCTTTATTGTAGACAATCTGCAGAAAGCCTTTCTGCCTAATCTATCATCTTGCTGCGTTTTCTATGCATAACTTGCAGTGTTTTTAATTTTGTTTTTGGTGGTGGTGCTGTTTACTTTCTTCCTCAAAAGTATGTGTGCTGAGTTCATTTTGCTTGTTCATTTTCTTGATTGTGGTTTTAATGCTTACTAAATTTTTGTGTCTATTTGAAGACTATGGAGCACCTAATCCAAGTCATGGAGTCCTGGTATGGTACTGTAGGATAATGCCCTGGACCACAAGGTCACTTACACTGCAAGGTCAGTGGTTCAAACTCCCCAACTGTTCCTTAGAAACCCTATACAGGGTCGCTGTAGGTTGGAACTAACTCAATGGCATTTAAAAACAAATACAACAATGCACACTATGGTGTTTCCAGAAGCATCATGTGCATGTGAGAGTAGGACAGTGAATAAGGAAGACCAGAGAAGAACTGATGTGTTTGAATTAGGGTGTTGGAGAGGAACATGAAAAGTATCATGGGCTCAAGAAGAACAAACAAATCTGTTTTGGAAGAAGCACAGCCAGAGTGCTCGTTAGAAGCCAGGATGGTGAGACTTCACATTTTATACTTCAAACATATTATCAGGAGGAACATGGCCCTAGAGAAGGACATCAGGCTTGGTAGAGTGGAGGATGAGCAAAAAAAAAAAGAGGAAGACCGCAACGAGATGGATTGTGATGATGGCAGCATCAGTGGACTCAAGCCTAATGACAATGGGAAGGATGGTGCAGAAGCCGGCAGCGTGTTATTCCACTGTGCAAAGCGTAGATATGTGTCAGAACTGATTCCATAGCACATAATATAGCAAAAAAATTTGATTTCCTCACAAACTCAGGAGGATCCAAATTCAGGAGGATCATGTATTGGTCTGGACCTAAAATCATTGGCCTTTCTTGTTTTCATGGGGAAGCTGCTCTCTAATTTAAATTTCTTCCTCATATAAAGCTGTCAATTCACTATTTTGTATATGTCTTGCAATTGTCTTCTTGCCTGCATGGTCACTGCTGAGAAACCAGAGCTTAGTTTTATTGGTTCTGCTTTGTAGGTAACTTCTTGTTTTTCTGAGCTGCTTGCAGGATGATTCCAGGAGCAGCTCTGCAGGTTTGGAGCAGTGTTCATCTGAATGCAGGTGCTGGGTTTGGTGTGGCTAGTTTCTGACTCACTTTATGTGGCTCACAACTGCTCTGCTCACTACCTTGTAGCTATGACCATCAGGAAAATGGGAGCTTCATTGGAGGAGTATATTGGTGGCTGCCCATCGTGCCTCTGGGTTAGACTGTTATAAGCCATAGAACTTTCATAGGATGGTGTTTTGGAAAATAGATCCCCAGGCCTACCTTGTGTGTAGTAGTGTAAAAGAGCTAATTAGTTTGAAACCTGTTTAGCATCATAGCATCAAATCCAGAGGACGTGTGTTAAATACAGCTTGTAGGTTGGTGTTTAAGTTTATGCTGATGCCAGGCTAAGCTGTTGTCCCATCAGTGTAGATGAGATGTTGACCAGGTCTGCAGCTAATGTGGACTTTCTCTTCTCGGACTACAGATTGAGATCCTGGCACCTTTTGAGGAGGACCTGCCCCCTGGAAGCTGAAATGACAGGCACACAAGGATGACCCAGAGATGCTGTTCAATTCTGGGTAGATGGAAAAATTAAGCCAAAATGATCTTACTGGGACAAGTGGACAGTCCTGTGTTTCCTGCAGCATTTATTTCATGTCTGACTTCAACAGTAGATTATCTGAATAGAAGAATCACTCTATAAAGAAAGCTCTATCTCTAGGCTTGTAAATACCTTCTCACTCAGGACACAGAGGAGCAGGAGCCCCAGGATCTGGATGGTGTCACTTTTCTGCAGCTTCTCTTCTGTGTGCTGCTGCTTAGTCCCTGTCTCCATGGGAGGCTCTGTCATAGCATTTTATGAGGCTCAGATCAGAAGGAACACGTTCAGGGTGGGAGGTTGGTGAGGGGACATTTGTTCAAGTTATCCTGCAGTATGACAATGATGTTTTTAGAGCACAGGGCTGTGGTTAAAAACCTTGTATGTTGTGTTGCTTTTGCTATTTGAGTGTGACTGTAATGGCCGTCTATTGTCATGGAAATAATTATATTCCAATTCTCCTGTTAAAGTTGCTGGAGGTCTTTGAGTTGTGCCAATAGTTGGTGCTTGGCTACAATCCTAAAGGTTAGTGATGGGAATCCACCTAGTGGTGGCACAGAAGAAAAGGCCATTGATCTGCTCCCAGGAAGATTGTAGTTGTTTCTTCCCCTTGAATATTCATGACAGGACTGACCATTGTACTTCTAATTTTGGAATTGCAAACAGATCCCTCCTTAGTATTGACTGCTTAAAACTCACTGTCATTGAATCAATTCTGACTCAAAGCAACTCTATAGGACAGAGTTTTGTTGTTGTTGTTGTTGTTGTTGTTGTTGTTAGGTGCCATTGAGTCAGCACCAACTCATAGACACCTTATGCACAGCAGAAAAAAACAATGTCTGATCCTGGGCCAACCTCACTACTGTTGCCACACTTGATTCCATCGATGATGCTGACCTGCTTTTTTAAGGAGCTCTGGTAGCGTAGTGCTTACAAATCGGACTTACAAACCTAAAGGTTGGCAGTTTGAAACTACCAGCTATTCTACAGGAGAAAGATGAGGCTTTCTGCTCCTGTAACGATTTGCAGCCTCAGAAACCCTTCACAAGGTTACTATGAGTTGGAATCGACTCCAAGGTACTTAACAACAACAAGATTGTTTCCTTTCTCCCAAGGAGTGGCTGGTATATTTGAATTGATGACGTAGCATTAGCAGTCTGATGCTTAACCCCCTATGCCACTGGGGTGCCCTATATGATATGCATGGTTGTTATGGAGTCCTGGTCTGGCATTGAAAGATAAGCACTCGATCTCAAAGGGAGACTTTTTTTTCCCCTGAAAGAAAAGAAGAAATACTACTGGCAATGGGAGAACTAGTGTACCATAGGATCTGCAAGTGTTT